AAATTTATTTAACAGGTCTATATTTATTCATTAAAGTGTAGCAACGAAGCTACTGGTTTGCATCAACATAAAGGCACTGGGCATTATCGACAATATCGAAAGCCCATCAATATTCAGTGAACAGATGTGATAATGCAAACTTATCAGTTCTTAGGGCGCTATAATGTTTCAATCTAGATTATAGATTCGATGGACAAAAATGCAAATTACAAAAGAAAATTTCGAAAATTGCAATAAATCACTATACACTACAATACACTACCTTATAAAGTACAATTTTACAGATCAAAATTGATGATTTCGCAAAACGGGATTTATTACTTTCATTGTTTTATGATTTTCCTGAACATATATACATATATTACACATGATATGTTCCATGGAATATATATATAAATTCATTCCATCACGATAAATAATAATCGTGGATATAATATAGATACAACTACTTTTATATCTTTGAATTAATTTGTGGTTATACTTGAGCGAATATTTTAGTGCAATTTTATTATCATAAACCAAAGAGCTAAAAATAATGTTTGTAAAATCATTCAGAGTATTAAGAATATAATGGCAGATTAAATTATAATGGTTGGAAAATACGTTGCATGTTAAATAGAATAATGGCTTTTTTATGGCATATTTATATTGCTTTGCGTTATGTATATATAGAAGTATATCTTGCATTTTTTTACACTCTTGTAAAAACCTTCGCACATCAATACTTTTCATTCATAAGAAAATACTTTTTCTTCTCTTTCTTATTTTTGGAAATAATTGCGAATGTGTAATTAAATATTTACATTTTTATACCATTGTCTCTAACCTAAAATACCGAAAGAAATATTTTTGAAAGGAACAATTCTAATAGGAGAGAAAATATGCCTTAAATTTTGTAAATGTTATTATTTGGGGAAAAAATGCAAACAGATCGAAAATTTGATTATTTTCAGAGAATTACAATGACAATTTTTATTAATTTGTTAATTTTAAGAATTAATGTTTTGACATGGTTGAGAATTCAGACTAACATGATGAAAGGGTATATAGGAGCAAAAGAATGTTATAAAAAAGTAAGCGTCAAGAAAAATATTCTCTTAATTTTCACATTCACTTAAATAAATGCTCCCATTCCTTTTGGTGCATCTGGTGAATTCTGATGTGAGATATTCCGAGTGAAGTAAAATATTACTCCTTTGATAATTTACTTTGAAATATATGTATTTTCAACAAGAGATGACTAGAAACTTGTATTATAGTTCTCATATCTCCCAGAGATATGAGATACGTAAACTTCCAGCAAGGAGAGACCATTTCATTGTAAGTAGACTTGAAAATAGAGATCGCAGCACGAATTTAGCATATAATATATAAAATTTCAAACTACTGAATATTTATCGATAACGATGGCAATTTCTAACAAGTCAAATTAAAAAGCATAACTAGTAAACCTTCTATAAATATTAATTCCAATTCAATATTGTCAATAATCCAAATTTGACAAAATGTTCCCTAAATTTAATTTAATTAGTCCTTAAATTTTTGTACAAAATATTTTTAATTTAGTCAAAGCCAATATTTAGATTTTTAAAAAAATGACCGTGTGCATAAAGGGAGTAAAACATTAATTAGTTTACAAAGTAGGGGAAAGAAAAAAAAATGAGAACAAACGAATAGCGGAAAGGTAAATGCAGCGCACCTACAAGGAAATTGCTGGTTCAATTTTCGTTGTTAATTAGGTGCCTAAATATAATTGGTTGTCGTTCAAATAAAGTGTAAAAAGTAACATATGAACACACACGTATGTGACACAGGAATAAAATATTTGGTTGGTCGATCTACATCGCTGAACATTTGACCCAATTTTCACAAACTAACGCCCCGACGCTCTGCGCTACTTCACTAATGACCGAGCCCGTCAAGCATTGAATTACGTATATATGAAATATGCGGTCCTCTCGCCTTTTACCACCCTTGCAAAAAAAAAAGAAAAATTCACGTGCGCAGATATCTTTCTCTTCAACCATAAGGGATTCACCGCGACCTATCAATTATTTTTTATTCACACAAGGAAATATACTATAATTTCTCTAGTGACGATTATAATCATCCCTTGAGCAAAAATTAATTAATTACCACAAGTCGATTTTTTTTATCACTTAATAGCAGGATTTTTACTAATTGAGACTTAGGGAGAATTTTTTTTTTTCTTTAATTATTACGATCTGTAAATTTTAATCAGTGGAAATTTTGCTAATTTTCAATGAGGGACGATTCTCTCGATTTTGATTGTTTTTCATTGAAAAATCTATAGATTCATTATCAGTAAATAATGACTGGATTTCTAGTCATTATCAAATGATAATGAATCTACTGATTTTGAATTAAATTTCATTGCGATTGTAATTTATGGGAAGATGAGTCAATGAGAAACAGAGTGTAATTTTCGCACTAATGAGGGATTTTCGAGAATGATTGGCGCACTGATTTCTTAATTATTTGGCTTGTCATTTTTTGATATCGAACAAAGAATCGATTTTGTAATTAATAATAAAAGAATAATTAAAATAATAGAATAATAACAGGGCTCGAAGTAGTGAAAGTATTTAAAAATACGGACTTTACGGACCAAAATTGAAAAATTAGGGACCAATTACTAACAAAAATATAACCAGTCCAAGTCAAATAAGAGAACATTTTACTTAAAACTAGAAATTAAATTTTGTATAACTATAAAACATGAAGATATCGATAAATCTGAGTCTTCGACTCTGAGTAATCGATTTCTTCATGTTTAATAATAATTTCAATCTTACAAAATTTAGAATATTCGTAAATTCTTTAATTAAATAAATATTAGAAAATAAAAACTTCAAATAATATTTAAAAAATCTGCAATTAAACTTTTTCCAAAAAAATTAATTTCAAAATTCAATTATTTAAATACAAAAATAAATCATTTATTGAATAATTGAATGTTTCTTAAAATTGAATTCGCATAAAAAATTTTATCAACAAATTTTTAAATATTTGAATAAATTTATTTTTTTGGAACATAATTAAATTTACGCGAAGAATTTTATTAAAATTTTTGAAAATAATTGAATTTCTACAATAATTTGTAATTTCTCCAAAATTAAATTTTTTTAGTGTTTTTAACTAAAATTCTTTTATAAATACATTATTTTTAATAGTTTTTTAAAATGTTCTTTGAGAATTTTCAGATTCATATTTTTTTAAATTTAATTTTACAAAATTTTAATTATTCGTAAATACTTTAATAAAATATATGTTAAAAAAATAAAAACTTGAAATTATTTTTAAAGAAATTTAATTAAACTTCTTTAAAGTAATAAATTTTACAGAACTGATAGTTAAAAATATGAAAAATTCTGATTTTCAAAGATTTTAATTTGAAACCTTTTCAAAATTCAATTATTTCTAAAAATTCACGCTCTAATGCTTTTAATATTCAATTATAATCTAAAATTTTAACTGAAATAAATTTTTAAATCAATGTTTGTGAGATCTACTAGAATTCAATTATTTCACTACGAAAATATATTATTTTGTCGAATAATTGAATGTTTCTTAAAATTGAATTCTCATAATGAATTTTATCAATAAATTTTTAAATAATTGAATTCTTTTGACGAATTTTAATACAATATTTAAAAATAATTACATTTTTCGAGAAATTTGATGAAAATAATGGATTCCCTGAGAATAATTTTATTATTTTTGAACATAATTGAATTTCTGCAAAGAATTTTATGACTCTTGAAAATAATATGAATTTTTGATATAATTTGTAACTTATCTAAAATTAAATTTTTTTTAGTGTTTTTAACTAAAATTCTTCTATAAATCCATAATTTTTAATAATTTTTGAAAAAGTTCTTTGAGAATTTTCAAACTCATTTGTTTACAATTCACTTTTACAAAATTTCAATTATTCGGAAATTCTTCTATTAAATATGAATTTGAGAATGAAAACTTCAGAAAAATAATTTCAAGTAAAATTGAAATGAACTTTAACAAAAAAATTAATTCTTCTACAGAATTGTTAGTTAAAAGTATGTGAAAAATTAAAGTTTTTAAAGATTTTAATATAAAACTTTTTCAAAATTTAATTATTTCTAAAAATTCACACATTTTTATGTATTTAATTATAATCTTAAATTTTAACTAAAATTCTATTTTTAATCAAATATTATTAGAAAATTCTACTAAAATTATTTAATTACATTTTTCGAGGAATTCGATTAAAATTGTATTAAAAATAATTGAAATTCTGCAATGAGTTTTATTATTTATGAAAATAATTGAATTCCTAAAAAGTATTTTATTATTTAGGAAAATAATTGAATTCCTAAAAAGTATTTTATTATTTACGAAAATAATTGAATCCCTGCAAAAATGTTATTACTTATGAAAATAATTGAATGATTGCGAAGAAATTTATAAAAAATTTGTAAATAATAATAATTGAATTCCTGTGAAATTTCTATTACAATGTAAAAAAAAGGTTCTAAATTAGAGTTTATTTCGGTATTAAAATTAAAGCAAATTACGATTTAGTACAAAAATTGGTACAAAATTCGTACCTTTCTTTTTACAGTGTATTTTATGAAAATAATTAAAGGTTTGCATAGAATTTTATTCAATTTTTTTTTAATTAATTGAATTCTTTTGTTAAATTTTATTAAAATACTAGATATTAAAAATCATTGAATTGAGGAATATTTTTGAAAGTAATTGAAATTTTGCCGAGAATTTCATTAAAATTTTTGAAAATAATTGAACTTTTGACGATAATTTTTTAAAATTTTTGAAAAGAATTAAATTTCTGCGAAAAGTTTTATTGCTTTTGGAAATAAATGAATGTCTGCAATCATTTGTAATTTCTCTAAAATTAAATTGAATTCAAAGTAAAAATAAAATCACTTAATCGACCCTCAGTTCAACTATATAATGATAAATAAACAAAAAAATCTTACCTTAAAGTCGATGTAGCCATTTTTGTCCATGTCAAATGTACGGAACACATGGTCACAAAATTCTTCGGCATTCCCCGATGGGAAAAACATTTTGTACATATCGACGAATTTAGCAGGTGTCAGCCTACCGTTGGGACAGTCTTGCTGCAAAACAAAAGCAAAACAAAAAAATTAATTACAATTTTTCATTTTAAAATTTTCTAATTTTATCCCATTTCTTTGCATTTCATTCTCATTTTCTCTCCCCCATCAATTATATTTCCATTATCATAAAAAGAATATATATGATATAAAATGACAAAGATTCAAAATGAAAAGAAAATGAGCTACTTTTTTTTAATTTTTCTTTTGCCCATTCAGATAATACGTCTTTTTCCAAGAGAAATATTCAAAGGATTAAACTCAGGGGAACAGAACCTATTTAAAGTTTGAAGAGGTCTCAATTTCACCTTCTCAATAGAAGTCGTCATTTCAGTTTGAATTGCTGTCGACTGGCAAAAATTCAAATAAACTTTACCTTTCTTTTCTTTTCTTTTTTTTTTTTGCAGAATTGTAATGCATTTAAAGTACTGATTTTATAATAATTTGAGTGCATAGTTATTGTATATTTGGCACACTCGTAAAATAAATTATCTCTCAAGCATTAACAAAACACATTTTTTTTTGCTCCATATTTTATCTATTTAGAGAGTATATATAACCGCGCCAGCAAAATTCACAAGGGAATCTTCTTGCTTTGTAGTTTATTTATTTTCTTTACTCTTTGTAATTTTATTCTATTTGTTATTTTGTGCACTCAGTTCGTTTATATAATGGTTGTGACCTACATTCATTAAAACCGTACAAAACAAATTAATTTATGTATTTCCAGAGGCATTAAAAGATTTTCTTTTAAAAGTGATATGTATATTTCATACACGTGTGTAGTAGGAAAATTGTAATGAAAGTATATACCCTTACGTGGAAGTTCCATAAAAATTCCAGTGACTAGGGTTGGAATGGTAAAAATTTGGAAAAGAATTTTTTTTAGGCTGCAATGTTGATGACAATTTTAGGGATTGAGGGTATTATTTATTTTGTAAGGTTTCGAGCCTTAGATGATCATATGGGGTGCATAACACCCTAAAACATTTGTAAAGGGGATGAAAAATATGCTATTGATCGAAATATCGAATTGAGATTTGTGAAGCTAGTTAAATTTCAATTTGTATTTTCTACTTTAATTCAGAGCATTTGGCATTTAGCAATTCGTGTTGGGGTCTTTAACTTCTAGAAAACACAATTTTTCTCTTTTAAATTTTTTTGAATTTACTATCTCGCAGAAATTTTTATCTTTAAATGAATTACTTTTGTTGTATAATTCAAATGTTTTTAATCCTCAATCGCAAAGCTTAAAAAAGCTATAAAACTTTTTTGTAAAAACAAATTTAAATTCAAGTTTATAAATTTTTTCAGTATTTAAATATTTACATTTAGTTGAAAGCACTATTAAATTATCTTCTTTAATGCTTTTAAAATAGACTTCAATTTTTTGAAATTTTTTAAAATTATTTTCTTTAGAGGAAAAACTGTTTTGACTCTGGTGTGTCAAACACTCCATGTGATTCATTTGAAGGATAAAAAATTGTATAAATGAATTTTAAACTAATTTTTTTTTAAATTATTTACGATCATTTAACTATCTTCAAAAAATTATAATTACAATTTTTCAAAATAGTAATTTTTTCATAATTTCTAAATTAAATTACAAATTCAAAACTTGAGTAATTTTTGTTAAAGAGAACTTTGAATACTTAGTCATTTTTCTACAGGAATTATAATAAAATTAAAATAAAATAAAATATTTTTTCAAATGATTTCAATGTAAAATCTGTTTAAAATTTAACTATTTCTAAAAATAACAATTGTAATTCTTACAAAATTCAATAATTTTCTTCTTGAAATTTTTACACAAAATTATTGAAACTTTAATCCGTTAATAGAACAAAAAATTAATTAGTTTTTAATATAAAAATTGAAATATTATTACAGCTTTAAAACAATTAAAATTTTCCAAAATTTTCATGTAAAAATCTTTTGAAATTTAGTTACTTTTTAAAATTCATACTATAACGCTTTCAATTTTCAATTATTATCTGACATTTTGACTAAAATTCATTTTTTACTCAATTCTTATTAGAAAGTTCTACGAGAATTCAATTATTTAAAATTTTAAATACATGTATGAAAATAATTGAATTCTTGCCATAAATTTTATTAAAATTTATGAAAATAATTGAATTCTTAAGAAGAATTTTATTGAATTTTTTTTAAATAATTGAATTACTGTGAAAAATGTTATTTTTTGCGAAAATAATTGAATGTTTTTGGAGAATTTTATCAAATTTTTGTTTAAATAATTTATGTTTTTGATAAATTTTATGAAAATTTTATTTTTAGTTATTTAATTTCTTTAAACATTTTATTATTTATGAGGAGAATTGAATTCTTGCTAAGAATTTTATATTCTTTTCAAAAAAATTTTATGAAAATTGTATTTTAATTTTTAAATAATTGAATTTCTTTAAAAATTTTAGTATTTATGAAAGTAATTGAATGTTTGCTTAGAATTTTATTAAAAATTTTTTTAAATAATTGAATTCTCGTGAAAAATAATTTTATTTCTTTAAATAATTGAATTCTTGCGAAGAATTACAAAAATTTTTTTTTAAATAATTGATTATTTTCAATAAATTTTATGAAAATTGTATTATTCGTGAAGTTAATTATGGATTGTTGTGAAGAATTTTATAAGATTTTTTTCAAATTATGAATATTATACCTATTTTAAATAATTTAATTTCTTTAAACATTTTATTTTATGATGAAAATAATCGAATTCTTGCTATAAATTTTATTTAAATTTTTTAAAATAATTGAATTACTGTGAAAAATTTTATTATTTGAAAAAATAAGAAAGTCATAATTGAATTATGTTCCCAAGAATTTAATAAAAATTTTTTTTAAATAATCGATTTTTTCAATAAATTTTATGAAAATTTGAATTTAATTTTTAAAGAATTGGATTTCTTTAAAAAATTAAGTATTTATGCGAAAATAATTGAATTCTTGTTTGGAATTTTATTAAAATTTGTTTAAGTAATTGAATTCTGGTGAGAAATTTTTTACCTGAAAAAATAATTGAATTTTTGCGAAGAATTAAATAAATTTCTTTTTAAATTATTGTTTATTTTCGATAAATTTTGTGAAAATTGTATTTTAAATAATTAGATTGTTGGAAAAATGTTATTATTTATGAAAATAATTAAACCTTTGTAAAGAATTTCATCAAAAATTTTTTAAATAATTGAATTTCTCGAAATTCAATTATTTAAAAAAATTATTTTTATTAATTTTATTTTTTATTAAAATTTTCTGAATTGTTTCTAAGAATTTTTAAAAAAATATTGATAATACATTTTTTATTTAAAATATTAGCTATTTAAAGTAGTTTAAATTCTCAAAAAAAAAGAAAATAAGTGCTTTTAGTGTCAGAAATCTAAAAAAAGTATTCAGACCTGATGGAGGTTCAGGTCCAAAGTAGAAAATTTTGAATTTCTTTTTAAAAGTACATAGGTATAAGCAAATAGTATGGACGCTTTAAAAAAAGTGAATAATAATGATAAAAGTGTCACCACCAGCCCCAGGGATCGGTTAAAATTCAAAATCCGCAATTCCAGAGAATTGAAATTCCCCTGGAATATATCCACGGAATTTGCTTAAACATTTAAATGGTCACTTACCAAGGAATCCTTCAATATATCTGAATATCCAGAGGACTTCCGGAGAGAAAACTTTTCTATGTTAATTTCTGCCATATTCACCGTGACCAAATAGAAGAAGAAAAAAAACATTATATTCTATTTTAAAAGGCAAAGGCTAAATTCTGTATATTCTCGGATCAACTCGGCTTTACTAGGAGAAAAACTGAAAAAGTTAAAGTGAAGTTGTGTAAAGCGCGTTTTAATGATGTGACCCGGACAAGTGACTTGGCCGGGGAAGGATCGAGTACACACCAAATGGAATGTGTGGGGTACGTGTTGAGACCGCGTATTTGAATATTTACATATACGAGTGCACTAACGTTGTTCCTGAAAATGGCCATGAGCAAATTCTCATCTGCATAGACGATGCGTTGAGCGTTGAAAAGCTATATCTTCTGGTCTGCGAGTTTCAGTCTCGTGCTTGAGAAGCACTATGTATGTATTTTCTTGCATCCCATTCTGTGCTGACTTCTTACCTTTTGTCCTATATATATATAACCTCTGCCAAAGCACCATTGTACATTACTATTATCAATAAAGCTTCAGTCATGTCTGCTTTAAGAAGATTATTATTATCTAGAGTAAGGAGATTTCCCCAATATTGCCGACAATTCGCTATATTTTCATGGTGAATTTCATCTCATCATGAATTATGATTTTCATAGCCAATTTTACTTCATCGTATGCGCATACAGTGAATAGAACATTTTTGATGATGATTGAACCAATATCGTAAATTTAATTTCCAATCCGGACAAAACATTTTATTTATTAAGGGGATGGTGTAGCTGTGAAATTTTGATTCATCGAAATTTACGTTGTTGACGGACGGCTATTTTTTGCTGGGCTCATTTTTTATGATCAAACAATATGCTCTGTTTTAATGAAAATGAAAAAAAAATTTTTTGTTCATTTTAGAATTTATGTTTTTTGAAAAAATTAATCTTTTTCGAATCCATAAGCTTTGTTATTCGGAACCATGAAAAAAGCAGGTAAAAAATCATCAATCAGTAAATACTAATAAAAATTTAAAAAAGTTAAATTACATTTAAAACTTGAAAAATTCTTTTTAAATAAATATTTGAATATTTACTTTCCAACAGATATTAAAATATTTTAAATTGTTTTCAACGTTACACCTTTTTGAAATTTAACTATTTCTAAAAATTACAACTATAATTCTTCCAAAATTCAATCACTTTTCTTTATGAAATAATTCAAACCTCGATTAACATAAACTTATTGAAAACTTAAATTTTAAAAAAAAAGTAATAATAAATTAATAATTTTTGCAGAGAAGCAAATTTCTATAAAGATGTAAATTTTTTTGGCTCCTCACAC